GACTCCACTGAAACAAAGCCTGTTTCTCTGTGGTTGTCCAGCATGGAAGGCAGGAGATGAGCCATGGAGAAGAGTGGTGGGGTGGCAGGAGGTGAGCCGTGGGGTGGTTTGTGCTCCTGCTGCAGCCTGGGGCATGGGGCGCAGTGGTTAGGGAGCAGGGTGTCCCTGCCAGAAAGCCAAGGGCCATATTCAGGTCAGGGTAACAGTTTAACCTCCCAGCCATAACAACACCCTTTTTAAATGAATAAACCCAACTTGTCTCTTCATTAATGAGAAAAGATGCAGTTTGGTAAAGCTTTTCAAAGACTATTAATAAAAGGGATCTTTTCAATGAAAAACAACTTGCTTCTGCTCAAGCCTTGGACTGCCCCAAAGATTTGAAAATTGTGACATACTAGGATCTTCTCAGTGCATTTTGCACATCCAGATTGTCTCTGGAGGTGTGTTAGTCACTGGCTGCAAACAGATGCCTGGAGAAATGTTGGTGGCCATGACATGGAGCACTGTCATGCAGTGCACGGAGGGTGCTGCTTGTACCCCTGCCAGCAGTGTCCTCAATTTAACCCCAGTTACCCCAGTTTCTTTGTTCAGCTTTGATGAGACGCATATGGAGACAGTCTGACACAGGAGTGCAAAGCTCGGGGTCCATTCATGAATCTGCCAAGGCGCAAGGGACTGTGGAAAAGCTCTGCTCTTTTCTCGGCTTGGCAACAGGCTGGGTACACTGAGGATAACAATCTGCGTCCCTGAGCAAAGGGAATGTTATGACCTCTACAGGATTAAGGCTGTTTTTCTCCAAGAGAAAAAAACATCCTGATTGTTTGGGGTTAAGATTTAGATAGATGGTCATTTTAATACTTCAAGAGCAGGCAGAATTATGGAGCCAGCTTGAGTATAATTTTCTTCCTTATCCTGATTTCTGTTTTGCTGTTTATCCTGTTTATCCTCTCCTTGTTATCCTGAACTGGTTTGTCTTCTTGTAAATGCCAACCTACCATCCTTAAAAAGAAATCATCAGGAAGAAAACTTGCTGACTGAGTGAGTCTTTCTTTTGCCTCTGGCAGCTGAATAAGCCCATCATCTTATATAATATTAATATTTGTAAAAGCAGACCTACAGAGCTCATAAATCTTCCATAAAAGAAGGGCAATATCTACATCTATTTTAAAATGGAGCAGGTAAGTAGGTTCTATAACAAAAGGATATTGATACAAAGGAAGTGGAGAGATGAAAGAAATAAAATTGCCATTTTAATCTGAAAATTATCTCTGCATAAGTAATACCAGAGGCCTCACTACTGTGGGAGCCAATGCTTTGCTCTGGGTGATCTCTTGACCCTGGAAGACTCCAGTCCCTGGCTGCTACCTGGTATTTCATTCAAGTGGCTTTAGGAGCAAAAAAACCGTCCAAAATAGAAGCAGAGCTTGTTTGCAGAGGGGAGGACTGCATTACCATTTTTCTTAACTTTGTGCTTCTCCAAATGGGAAAAATAAAAGTGAAAAATATCTGTAGTTTTGAATTCTGTTAAACATTTTTTTAAGGCAAGAAGCAGGCTTTTCCCCATTACGGATGGGAACCCAGATAAGAAAAAAAATAGAGTTTATTTTTTGCCAGCTGAGTGAGTAATCTGTCTCTAAACACACATGTGGAGCTGCTCCGTGAAGGAACAACACTGTGGCATTGCTAACAGGGTCCCTTTGCAAAGGCAGACTCTGGTTTGGAGCAGTTGGTTTAAGACTTTGTAAATCTTTCGTTGCATACCACCATTGGTAGGATGGTAAAATGAAACCGTGAAACCAGGGGTAAATGGAAAAATTTCTTTTTTTTTTCATTTTTTTTCCCTTTTCCTAGTACCACTGTCCTGAGACAGCTGCAGTTGCTTTTTCCCACTGCTGAGGACATGGTGCAAGTCCCACGATCTGGAATGGGGCAAGGAGGCCCTCCAGCCCTCAGAAGGGACATTGTTTTCTCCAAAAACATCCTAGCTGTGGTTTGTAGGCAATGTGTTGCTGCTGCTCTGTGATGAGCAGCACCAGGGCTCTTGCTGACATCTGTGTTTAGCTGGCAGAGAGGAGGGGCAGATGGGTGGGTGGTTTTGGACCTTTCTGTCAGGCATGCAGTTCTTCTTTTGTGCTGGTTTTTTTTTTTTTCTTCCTTTTTCTTTTATTTTTTTTCCTGGACCTGAGCCAGTGTGGTGCCTTTCATTCTGTATTGCTCACTGGTGGAGCTGGACCAGAAGATTCATTCTGGACATAGCTTCCAGACCCATCTTTGCTGGTGATGATTCCCACAAAAATTGAGCCGGGATCATGTGAGCCTCAGACCAAGGTACCTACCATGTGGCATAGCATGAGTCATGTAGTGCAGCCTCACTTGTTCCCAGCTCCTCTCAGAGCTGGAAGATGGTTAGACATGGGATTAATCTGATTTTTTGATGAAGCATTTTTTTTACTTTTGAAATAGTTGTTGAACCTGAAACTTCTCGTGGGAGTAGGTCAATTCATTCAGCACAACACACTTTTAAGGGAAAGTTTTTATAGTGCCAGCTCAGGCAAGAAATATGTTCACAGAATTTTAGCTTTCAGCTGAAATCACTATTTCATTCAAACATTTTAAGCTAGTGAGAGTTGGCAAAAAAAGTTTTTTTATTAAGGTGGAAATAAGAAGGGGATGTGTTGAAGTTATCTCAATGGAAAATGTTTTCATATTCTTATTTATGGAAGTATGTAAATGTAGCCTTTGTCATAATTAAGGACAAGAAAATATCTGAGAAGTGTTCATGGGGCACACAGATAATTGGCCAGACAATTTCTGCTGTTCTTTCACATCTTTGGCCAAGAGCCAACTTTGGTCTCCCTCATGAAATTTTCTGCCACAGCAAAGGTGGAATGTTAAAATTCAATGTTATGAATAAGCTTTGCTTACAAGAGAGAGAGGAAACCAGTCAAAACCCCTACATGGAAGAGAGCTGAATGAGAGCAGGATCACAGAGGTCTATAAAACTAAGGAGGATCTGAGTAAAGCAGCATAAACTTAATGGTCCAGATGAAAAATCACATGAAGGGAAATCAGTGCTTGCAAGGTAGATCAGGTGAAGGATTTGTGATCTCTGACCACTCATTCCATCTTTTATGTAGAGGGCCCCTGATTTGCTGTGGGGTGTCCGTTCATATTTGTGCTTTCTCTGTCCCCTGGGGTTAGGAAGGAAAGAAGACCCGCGCAACTTTTGTTGGCTATCCCTCTTATGTTGCTTTCCCCAGCCTTTTGCTGCCACCTCCATCCCCAGGAGCCCCCACAGACAGCCAAGTTGTGCCTATCTTTGGTGTGGCAGTGTCTCCACTGTCATTAGAGGATAAATGACAGTCTTAATGGCGAGGGAAGAAACCAAATTAAACTCCACCATCCTCAGCAATTGATGGGCCCGCTGCTGACCTCCATGTCACAGGCAATTTCTCACAAAGAATCAAAGATGAATTGTATCTCTAATTTCTGTCACAAATAGCTTGGCTATGCAAAGGGACAAATAACAGCAGGGGAGTAGAGGGGACAGTACTGCGCCTGGCCATCAGCTGGATGGCAGGGAAGGGCTGTGACGATGCACTCATTCCCAGCACGGTGGTGGCTAATGGAGTTGCATTAATCAAAAAGAAATGGCCAGATAGGCTGTTTCCTGTGTACACCATCCCACTGAAATAAGGCAACTGTGAAGGAGGGTTGGGAGGGAAATGAAATGCTAGTGATAAACCCAGCACAGTAGGCCATGCTCCCCAGTGGAGAGTCACACCAAGCCTGGGGAGATCTGTCATAAAGCTCTGTAAGCGTGAATCTGTTTAATTGGACTTTGGAGTGAGAGGCTGGGGGTTCTGTGGCATTCAGGGTGGCTGCTGCAGGTGACGCCAAACTATAAGACATTCAGAATGAACTGATAAGTAGCTACTGGCTTCTAGGACTAACTGGCTACCATCAATTTGTGGTTTATTGGCTGCAGTGGATCAATATCAGTCTTCAAGAGGCTCAACAGATCAATGTTTGATACAGAAAAAGAAAATAGAGAGCAGGTGTTTATGGCATCCCCTGTGTGCAGTATTACTATTCCTTGCTCATCCTTCTGCCAAGGGAATGGGAAGGAGAGAGAAGGAAGGTAAGAAAGGATTTAGAAAAGTAATTCACTTTAAAAAGCAGTTGTAAGAAGGAGATGTATAGCATTTTTTCCCCATCAATTTTAACCTGAGAAGAGAAAGAGAAAAATCTTCATATAGTGTCCTTTGAGAGACAAATTCCGATTGAACAGTGGGTTTGGGTTTAATGAGATGCTTGTGGCAAGGGGACCACTGGCACATGGCTGTGCTTGCCTAGGCTTTGGGAAAGAGGGATGTCCAGGGGTTCCACAGGTCCCTGCTGCTTTCTGGTGGTAGGGAGACCCACACCTGGCTGTAAATACTTTAGGTCAACTGTCAGGAAGATGATTAAACCAGGGAGCGTGGAAATGTTGGAGAGAAGGGCTGTTTTGTGTCAATGCTGAGGTCATCTGCCTCAGGTCTTGGATGACTGTGTGGCACAAAGTGGGTTCCTGGTGTTGTGAAGGTCAAGTTTCATTGGTTGCAAATGCAAGATGTGGCTGGGGGTGTGTATTCTGTTGCTATTTCTTAGAGGTAGAGCAGTTATCGTCTGTTAATTAGGCCGCCTGGTAAAACTAGGTGGAGCAGGTTTCTTTTTCTCTTCCACTAATGGGACATTGAGTCTCACTGCATGACTGATAAAATTACATCATCCCATTGTGAGATGCTGCGCCCAGGGGGATGAGCCAAGCAAGGTAAAACGAGCCACCCCCACAATCATTTAAGTTGGAAAATAGTCTTGACATCATCAAATCTAACCATTGAGCTAACGCCCTCAAACTATCAGGGTGCATTGAAGGCAGAGGACCTTCAGAGCATCATTCCCTGTGTCTATATTTCCTTCATTTCTTTTTCTCATTTACCCTTCGCCTTGTTTCACAGGACTGGCTGACAAAATTTGGGTATCTGCCTCCTCCGGACCCAGTCACGGGGCAGCTGCAGACGCAGGAGGAGCTCACCAAGGCCATCACTGCCATGCAGAGGTTCGGGGGGCTTAAGGCCACAGGAGTCCTAGGTCAGTGGCTCATGACTCCTCCTCTCCTTGGTGCAGAGCGAGGCAGGGATGGCTTCTTGCAGGTCCGTGAGGGAGAAGGGACTTGGTGTTGTGTTCTGGAGCAGCAGCAGAAAAAGCTCCACCGTGGGTAGAGCATATGGCCCAGTTTGCAGCTGTAAGAGTAATTACATGGCTCAGGTGTTTTGTTGCCTTGTGTTTTCAACAACCTGAGGCAAGCAATTATTTCAGCAGACCCACAGACCCTTGGGGTGCTCAGTGTGATTAAAATAGCTCTTGGTGTGTTCCAAACAAAAAGCAAACCAACAAAAAGAATTAAAAAAGACAAGGGGATAAGAGGGAGAAAGTTGTCCTGTTCAAAGCTTTACTTGCAGCATCAAATTGAATAGATCAAAAATCCTGGTTAAGCCTTGCAGTTTTTATGCATAGATATATTGGGTTCCTTGCTGCTGAGGCGCAGGCAGGGAAGGGAGAAGGATGGTGTTGCATCACCCCACCTCTGCTTCCTCCTGCCCACAGTGCATAGAGCCAGGAGGCAGTGGCATCTGTGTGGCAGGCACATTTGCCTGGGAGGATGCAGTCCAAGGGCAGGCTGAAGTAGTACGTGGTTAGGGTCATTCCTCTCAAAGACTTCACTGAGGGAAGGAGAAAGCCAGCATTATCCCGGCCTGCAGAAGGATGCCTCTCTGTTCTCCTCCCCTCTGTAACCCTCCCGCCATGGGGCCAGCATGCTTCTGCTGCTTGAGACACAATTAAGGAGTAGCAGCTAATTAGCAGGAGGGTCTCTATCCATCCCAACACCCCAGCAATCCCTCTGCTGGGCCCCTGAAGCCACAGCTGCTTCCCAACATGGGGACTTCCTTTCTGTGGTCTTAATTGAGTACATGCAATAATTTCCACTGCATCACAAGCTGCAGGAGACCCTGGAACAGGAGTGGCCATTCAAATTATATTTTCAGAGGGGGTGTTTGAAACTGTCTTGAGGGGGTGGGAGGGATGGCTGCCCTGGGCAGGTCATAGTTGTGGGTTTGTTCATGAAAACAGAGTTTAAGAGGTAAAGTCAGTAGGGAAATGAGTGAATGAAATAACTTTTCTGCATTTCAGCTGGTGAGAATAGGCACTTCAAGCTTTCATTCATTTAAAAAAAACTAATAAGAAGGAGCATGGACATTCTTCAAATAAGCTCCCAGCTGAACAGAGATGGAGTTTATTTGTATGTGAGTGTTTTTCCTTGACATAGAAATACTTGGAAATTCATCAAGAGAGAACAAAACAGAATATTTGAAAAAATATATTTAAAAACATAGTCAAAGCTGGCCACAGGTGGGCTTCCAGCAGGAATTGCTGTCCAGTGGTGGGAGCAGCAGTGGAAAATAGGAGTCTCAGTGGGTGTCACCATGACATGCTGGGGCTGGTGCCATGCCCCAGTGGACTCCTCAGTATCCACTTTTGCTCTTCTGGTTCAGTCTCAGCACTTAATTTCCTATATCTTTGTCCCCCTGGGATTTCTTAACCCACCATTCCCATGATTTCTTGTTTTTTCTCTAACCCTAGATGAAGCCACCCTGGAGCTGATGAAGACTCCTCGCTGCTCTCTGCCCGACCTCACCATTGAAGCGTCCAGGAGGAAGCGATTTGCCCAGGCTGTCACCAAGTGGAGCAAAAGGAACTTGTCCTGGAGGTAGGAATTCATCTTTCCCTGCTGAAATCTTGCAGCTAAAGAACAATTCCACAGTCACCTTTGTTAAATATGGCTTCGAGATGAGTTTTAGGGTGATGGTTAAAACATGTCCCTCTGGCCTCCCAAGACCTCATAGGCTATTTATTTTAACTCTTCTCCTGACAGTCTCAGCAGTGACTTCTTGGACCCACTTGGCAGTGTCTGAAAATGATACAGATTTGGCTGGTGAATTAGCTGGGAGCTTTTTGCTGGGTTGCAATGGTTGTTAGAGCATATTTCTTCTTGAGTTCATTAGTTCTGTGCTTTCTCAGTCAGCTGCCAAGCCTGGAGCTTCTTCTCTTGCCCCACCCGAATCCAAGGGTAGGAGCATTTTCTGGGTAATAAAGTCACATTTTTTTCTCCTAATCCTTGCCCCAGGCGAGTATTTTTCCCTCAGTGTCAGGATTCCTCTGCACCTGAGACAAACAGAAGTTCAGGTCCAGCTTTCAGAAATATACTGCCTGTCCCCCCCAAGATTTGTGCTTTTTGGGACTAATTTTTCCTTTCTCAAATAAGTGTGTGCTGCAGTGATTTTTCCTCTAAGAACAGTGTGCAGCATGAGGTGCCTGTACCGTCCTGAAAACACATGTGAATCTTATGAAAAGTTTTCCTTATTAATAACAAGTTCTACTTTGATCCTGGCATAGCCCCTAGGGAGAGTCCTTGTCCCACTGCAGTAGCGAATCTCAGATTGGCTGTTGCTGTTTGACACATGTTGAAACTTAGCAGAGATTTGGTCTATGTTCCAGCAGATTCCTTTGAGACTTTATTTTTAGAAAAGATAAACATAATTCAGCTTCAATAAGAAACAACTTTGGTTCGTAGATGGCTTCATGTTGTGAAGTGACCCATTTTATAAAAACTCAACCTGTCTCCCTGTTGCCCAGCCCTGACTTTATGGGGAAAGAGGAAGAACTTCACATTTCAGAAAGGAGAAAATCTTTTGGAGGTAAAAAGAAAACCTGCACTGGTGTTCTGGGAGCTGCCAGAGCCAGTGTAGGGGCATGGCTTGTGCACATCCTGACCCCAGAAGCTCCTGACAAACCTGAATGACATGCCATGGCTGGGTAGCATGGTCAGGGAACTGCACTGCAGGTGCCATCAGGACTTTGGATGTGCTGACACAGTATCCCCGAGTCTAGGCTGGAGAGAAATGTGGAGGTGAAATGGGGTGTGGCTGTTCTGGTGGATGCAGCCCTGGGATATCCCCCACCTCCCTTGGAAACTGATGCTGCAGCAAGGATTGCCATAAAAAGGGGCTTAGGTCTGGGACAATGTTATATGTTAGACAATATTATATTTATAAGGCATAAAAAAATCCATCTCCTGACAAAGTAATTTCTACTTTTTATTCTTTGATCCTTTCAAAAATATTTTATTTTGTCCAAGAAAGGGCTGTATTTTACAATGGCCAGCAGAACAGTATAGCATTACAGAAACTCCAATGTAGTATTTATATCCAACACTTGAGATTAAGCTGTTTTTTTGGAAACTGCCCTGAAAGTCTTCAGTAGAGACATAAAAGTTTTACTCGCTTACATTTTACACATTGTTTGAATATTTTAAAAGGGGAAAACAAAACTAAATGCTACTCTCACATAGATTTAAAAGTTGAAGAAAAACCTGAACAATTGAAAGGCTGAAATAAACAGGTGAGCAGAGCTGTATGAAAGGAGGGCCTTAAAACAGGCACATGCACTGATTGAGGAGGCAGTTTTGGGCAAACAAAATTTTATAGGTATTTTACCTATTTACCTTTTTACCTTTGAGTACAACCAACCCATGGGACTGGAGGGCCTAAGGAACAAAACAATACAGGCTGCATTCTGCACAGCTCACAGTAAAGCTTTGTAGCATCCCATTACTGCATCAGAAGTAGATGGTTTTCTGTGTCTCATCACCATGTAGCGTTTCCAGAATATTACAGCATATAAATTTTCTTTTCACAGGATTATTTTTGTTATTATTTTATTTTCCCTGCGCTCTCCCCAGGTGCCAAGGCAGCTGCTGAGAGAGTGGCATGATGTGGATGCCCTCTGCCGGCATCAGCGCCGGAGCTGCCCGCAGCCACTTCCCCCTCATGTTTGCAGCCTTGTTATTCACTTGCTGATTTTGCTTTATTGCTACTGGTTACGCCCCACAAAAGGGGAGTTCATAGCTGGCCTATCTCCATTTCTTCCCAGTGCTTGCTGTTTCCCCACAGTCCTGGGAAGTGCAGCAGCAGGGCCATGCCCCATCTTTGCACACTTTGAGCTCCCAGAGGAAGGGGGAGCCATGGAAGCTCAGCTTTTAAAATTGTCCAGCTTTTTCCTTTCAATGCTGAACTGAGCTGGCTTTCATCTGTCTGTAGTTAAGGACTACTCTTTTCTGCCATCTCATCAGAGCTACAGTCTTTGACACTGATGTTCAGGCCATGGGCTGCCGGAGCAAGAGCAGAGCCCACTGGGAGAGGAGCAGTGACATCAATCAGTCAGTGCCCACTATTGCTGTGAGCGTCCTGAGCCATCCCTTGAGGGGAGGTGCCACTGCCTGAGCCCAGGTGTGGATTTACTGAGGCGTGGAGGGGTGGCAGTCAAGAGGAAGGCGCTGCAACGCCTAGTTCTGTGCTCCCATCCCCACAACGGTCCTGATCCTCCTGCTTTCCTCCTTTAATCAGTGGCATCCTGCCATGGGGACCTCCCATCCAAAGCCCAGACTGCTTTGTCCCCCATGTCTGGGGCTGACAGGTGCCCAAGGGGGGCAGACAGTCACCTGCAAGTGTCAGGCTTCCTTAGGTTATTGTAGTGCACCTGCCACAGTCAACTGAGACCCCCATAGGAAATTTCGCGAGCAGCTGAGATAGAGAGCAGGGAGGTGTGTGGAGACACAGTGGCTTGGGTGTGACTGTGTGTGATAAAGGGCAGGAGAACAAAAAACCTGAACATAATATCAAACATAAACAGAACACACAATTGGGGATACCAGCATCATAACGTCACCCCATGACAGTACCTCTGTGCTGTCTCCTTTACAAATGTGTTTTCTTTGAAGTCCTACAATCATCTGGTGTTACATGCATGTAACTCATTCAGATTAGACAATAAGGTTTTTCTTTCACCAAAGAGTCAAGGGAGAGCAAAGGCAAAGATATTAATTATTTTTTCCTCATTTGGCTATGATGTGTTTTTCCTGATTCACCCACTCATTCCCACTGTTTCTAGGATGAGCTTCCCAAGTGCTTGAGAGGAACTGTTAGTGAGATTTCTGCTTAGGAGTCTTTTTTCTATCAGAGATTCAACCCTGACTAGTTTTGCCCTGGTCCAAAGATGGTGCCTGCTTTTGCTGCCTGTCTCTTGAGGGTGTGGGATGCGTTCCCAACCTCAGTAAGCAAGTTGCTCCTACTCCCCTTTTCACATCCCTGCTGTCTCCCAGCACTCAAATTGCTATTCGGGAAGAGCTTGAGTGGTGTGACACTCTGACACTTGTAATTACCTAGTGAAGTGTAGTTAGGTCATCACTGCCCATTGGTGATGGGAAGTGGTGTGGTACCGAGTGATGCTGTCACAGCTGTGTTATGCAGCAGGGTAAGTGATGTAGTCATAATTGTTGCTTCAGCCTTTAAAAATCTGTCAGACCATGAAAACACTTTGGCTGGTATGTCCAGCTTAAAAAAGAAAGTATCATCTGTTATTACTGGGGTACAGCTGGCCAGAAGTTATCCATCCAAACAGGCTTTTATCAATAAGTATTCAATCAACAGTACATTTGCTTGGAAAGCGTGTCTATTTTTGTGAAAATTTTCAACAAAAGATTATCTAAATATATTCCTTTAGAAGCCAAGGTGTCTTGTTGCATCTTTGTCTTTTCATCTCCTTTATTAAATCAACAATATTAGGAATTATTTTTCAAAGTTGGGTTATACAGGAAACATGGTCAGCCCAAAACTGCAAAAAGCTCTGAAGGCCTCACTCTGGCTCTGAGGCACCAGGCACCTGCAGAGCCAGTTCTGGTTGTTCTTGGAGATCTTTCATGCTACTGATCCATCCTCTTTTTTGCCCTCTTTGTTTCAGAGTTCGAACCTTCCCAAAAGAGTCCCACCTGGGCCACGACACTGTCCGAGCCCTGATGTACTATGCCCTGAAGGTCTGGAGTGACATCACTCCACTGAATTTTCATGAAGTGGCCGGAAACAATGCTGATATCCAGATAGACTTCTCCAAGGCAGATCACAATGATGGCTATCCCTTTGACGGGCCTGGTGGGACAGTGGCTCATGCTTTCTTCCCCGGTGACCATCACACAGCAGGGGACACTCATTTTGACGATGACGAATATTGGACCTTCCGATCATCAGGTAGGTCAGGGTGGGAGAGCTGCAGCCAAGCACAAGGGTTCACAATTTCCCTCTTCTGCTCTGGTGGCTAGAGTGGTTTAGCCTCTGCCACACCTTCACCCCAGGCTTCAGGATCCCTGAAGTCATCTGATTCTTCTTGCTAGCAAAACCAACCCAGGCAGTGTTGAGGACACTCTTATGTTCCTGGAAGCCTCAATGGCATCTCCAAATTTCTCTTTATCCTGCCTGCAATTCCAGAGCTCCCCGTTGCGCAATCGCAGTCCCCATCTCTTCTGAGACCTGGAAGGTTGCAGGTTGGGTATGCAGCTCCTGGAGCTCTTGGATGGGGACTGTATTCTCTAACTTTGACATCTTTTGGGTGCCTTCACTGCCACATGTCCCAGCTTCCTATTTTTAAAGTTTACTGTTAGCTGACCTACGTATAAAGGGCTCTCTGTTGTGCTGGTAAAAAGGCCTAGTTTTTTCTTACCATCTCCTGTCTATTACCTAACATCAGGATGGTTACAAGCTGCAATTGTTTTCTATCTTCATCTCATCTGGCCAAAGCAGAATTTTAATTAGCAGAGGGAGTATCAGAGGCAAGTGTTCCTCAGCTGCAAAACCATCTGTGAGGATCAGGTCCCCAGCCTTTGTGTTAGGCGTATTTTGACAGAATGTCTTCTCTGCAGCCACCAGCTGCTAATTTACTTGTCATGCCACCTCCTCCACCAGCCTCCTAGTGGGATCCTGCTGTTTCAGCTTAATGACTTTGTTTAAACCTGTCTTCTCTGAAACAAGCTAATACCTTCTTCCTGCCCACCTGTTGACCTGCATCCATACCCCTGCATGTTCATGGGCAGGAGTGTTCACCAGGCGTGCCGGAGCAAGTCTTGAGATGAAGGTTAAAGGTCTGGACAGGCTGTCCCTGCATGTTCATGGGCAGGAGTGTTCACCAGGGGTGCTGGAGCAGGTCTTGAGATGAAAGTTAAAGGTCTGAACAGACTGATCCTTGAGAATTACACCTGCTCCTTGTTTCATGCTCCTTGTTTCATGTTTCCAGCCCCAACTGATGGCTCTTATCAGGAAGGAAAAAAAGAAAATCAGCAGTTTTGATCTGCAGACGTACAGGGCAGAGGCAAGCACTTTGGTCAGTAGTTTGCCACAGGGAATGTGTTAGTGATGGAGTCAGTTTTGCAGCTAGGGTTGGAAGTGCTCATTGTGAAACAAACTCCAGTGAAGGAGTGAGCTCAGAGCCAGAACTCCAGCAGGGAGTGCTCTTCCAAGCTCCACCAAGGGATAAGGGGATTAGACTGCCAGCGAAAAGCTGCCCTCTATTTTGAAGATCTTGGAGCTATCCAAGCTTCATATTTTATTTATTTTGTTCTCTCTACTGATTCAAAAACAACAACGTGGTAGGTGATATAAAAATATCCCCAAGGTTGTCAGTCAGGCATTAAAATGTCAGAGAGCATATGTCTTGTTCTGTCTTAGTGCCAGGGAAAACAGCACAGGTTATAAAAATCTTGCCTGGTTACAGAGACTGTAAATATACAGACATTGTAAATAATAGTCATGAAGGAAAAGGCAAAATTCAACAAAGACTATTCCCATGCTCCAGCACCCTGAGCCTGGTGAGGAGCGCTAAGAACTGGGCAGGATCAGCCATGACTACTTTTGTGCAAAAAAGTAGCTATCTCAGATGGCAAAGAAGCCATCTCTTTCCTCTCCAATTATTCATCATTCTCGGGGAATGAGACACTCCCCTGAGCTCCACAGGGATCTTTCCAACCTCACTGCTCTGTATTACAATACTTGACATCATGATCTTTATTAAGAAGCACACTTAAAATCATTGCTGCCTTCTAGTATTGGGGGGAGGAAGGTGCCCAGCCGTGGGAGAGCTGGGCAGCCTGCTGTGAGATCTCAGCCATCCTGGAAACCCGAGACCTTTAACCCTTTCCTACTCCTCCTCAATTTGAAAGAGAGACAGTCTGGGACCTGAGATGTTAGAAGAAGAAATCCTAGGTGGGAGGAGATGATGGAGTGGCCTTGGCTGGACTTTTCTTGTATAGCCATAGACTGAACCAATTTCTCCTGTAACACAGACTGCATTATAGGGGGATGCAATGACTTGAACCAAGAGAGTGACAGGAGTGGGAGTGACCTGTTTCAGTGAGTGACCTCATGTGCAGGAGTGAAGTGAACAAAGAAAAGATGAGGAGGGTGTGGTGGTGCCTGTTCTCGAGACCCTCGGCCCCAGGGGAGGAAAAAATGGGGGGACTGTTGTCCCAAAAATGAGAAACTGTTGTTCTTTGGTACTTGCAAAGCATCCTTTAAGGAACCTTATAAGCAGTTTTGGTCCATGGACGGTGGTGAGAGCACTGTACATGGAGGGAGGGTGTCACAATGGCAGATTTTCTCCAGGCAGTGCCATGTGTGACATGGAAACACAAGAGGTTGCAATTGTGTTTCCTGGGGGAGTCTATCATACAAGAGAGACTCCTCTCTCCCTTGATGAACTGAGAATTGATTATCTGAGGAGTGGTAACTTGATTGGGAATCCAGGGTTTTGTCTCACTGTGTTTTGTTGGTAATTGGGTGGGGGGAGGAGGAATGTTTTGGAAGGTTTTTATTCTGAATTCTGTGTGCTTCTTCTGTTATAGTTGTAGGTTAATAAAGTTTTTTTCTTTATTTTTAAGCTTGAGCCTGCTCTGCTCTGTCTCTGGTCGCATCTCCCAGCACTCATTTGAGAAAAATGTATTTTCATGGGTGCACTGGTACTGCGCCAGTGCCAACCCTTTACAAGAATACATTAGAGACAGCCCAGGCTGAAGGAAAAAAGTCAACAAAGGCTCGAGGTATTGATGTTCAGCAGTGTCTCCCTAATGCCCATTGTGGTGTGTGAGGATCAAAGTGTTTGCCAAAGGCAGCAGACACAAGAGCTGCAGCCCTGTCAGCACAAGATGTGTAACAGGAGAAGATGGTAAATCCTCTAAAAATAAGCTGGACACAGTCACCTACTTGTGTCAGGGCAGCAGTGAGATGAGCAGGTTGGTGGTTGATAGGCAGATGAACATTCCTATGTTTGTGTGCATACAAGAAGGCTGAGGAATGGATTTGGCCGGGGCAGCATCATGCGAGGCCAGGCAGCGAAAGCCCCGCAGAGCGCCGTGGGCAGGCAGGCACCGCTGGCACTCCCCGGCTCCTTGGCACATGGCTTGGCTCATTGTCACAGGATGTGACGAGCTTCTGGCTGGTGCCTTCAGAAATCTGGTATTCTGGGCAATGCAAAGGCTGTGTCAGCAGCTGCAGCAGGCATGAGACGCAGGGAGTGACTGCTCTGGCCCAGCTTCTGCAGCACCACTCAGCAGGTGGTTGTGACGTGGTTGCTGTCTCAGCCTTTGTCCAGCTTTTTCTCAGGTGCCGACAGTGATCTGGAAATAAGAGGGGCTGGTGTAGGCTGAAGTCTCACTTGCTTTCCATTTTCATATGATCCACCCCAGTCTATAACTGGAAAAAAATGTATTTTTCAAACTTTACCTGTTTCCAAGTTCTTCTTTCCAGTTTATTCAACATAAACCTACAGTTTCTCTTTCTGCCCCTGCAGCCCACCCAAATCCTCCAATTACTTTCAGCACTTAGTGACTTTTATTTCAATTTTATCCTTATCTCCAGACACTAATGGGATGGACCTTTTTGCTGTAGCTGTCCATGAGTTTGGCCATGCCATTGGCTTGACCCACATCTCTGCCATAGAGTCTATCATGAGACCCTACTACCAAGGTCCAGTGGGGGATCCTCTGAAGTATGACCTACCTTACGAGGACAAAGTCCGGATCTGGCAACTTTACGGTAAGTTTATGTCCCTCACGTGGCTACAGTCTGTTCCTTCCATGGTAGGACACACTGGAATAGCTGTTTTCTGGGGTGAGTGGAACTGGTAGGGAGGACAGTGTTCTCCATTACTGCTTCTTTTCTACACAGGAGTCAGGGAGTCTGTGTCCCCCACAGCTAAACCTGAAGTAAGCAAAACAGATGATCATCCAATCCTGCCAGAGCTGCCAGAGAACCGCTCCACTGTCCCGTAAGTCAAATTTCTTCCTTTCCTGCAAAGGATGTGTAGTAGTGAGGCTCTGCTTCATCTGTATGTTGCCTGCTTGCTCTGGCTTTGGTATTCCTCTCTGGATATTTAGTTAAAACTCAGATGTTTTACTCATATTTGTGGAAAGTTGTCACCATCACCCTTAGGTAAGTTCATCCTTGCTGGAATTTTAAACAAACTTCTTCAGCAGTATCCTGAATTGCACAAGCATAACTTACCTAAATTGTTCTACAGTGAGCAACTGCCTAATGTACCTGAGGGAGTGAATATTGGAACAAGTGGACCGATAGCCTGACTCCAATGCAGGTTAACATTGGCAAAGGACTGCTTACACCGAGTGTCATCAAGCAACCAGCACAGCCTCATTAAGGGAAGTGCAGGACATAGCTCATTAGTAAATGTTGACCAAGACAGCAGGGCAGTTAAGAGAAGAAGGGACACTGAACAAAAAAGGCAGGAGGTGGTCATGCACGTTTTTGCGTGGCAGAGATGGAGCAGGTCACCTTCACCTCATGCTCCTTTTGTTTGAACATGCTGAATGCCATTAGTTACGTTTCTCCGTGCATAACTTCTAAAGGTCCTTGTCCACCAGGCTCCTTATGGCCATTTTTGGACCTAGATATACAAGAGCTTCTCCCTGCTATTGTAAGAGGTCAGCACCTCATACCAGCAGCAGGAGCAGCAGGAAACGTGCTCATGCCATCCCCTTGTTTCTGCCTTGTATGCTGGGAGAGTGGATGGGGTTTGCCTCCACGTCTGTCAGATGTGGCTCTCTGTCTTTCATACTCTGTGCCTTCCCCACCCACCTTGTTAAAGCAGCTCAATATCTCAGCTGCCACTTGCCAGGTGGCGTTCACCAGGTAGATTTCACATGGCTCCTCCAGGTCCCTCTGTTTAAGCTCAGCTGCTTTCTGCTTTGCAGCTCTGTCACCTCTCACTGGCACTTTGGAACTCAGCCTTGGAGCAGCAGCATCCTGAACTGCTGGAGCGAGAGGCTGCTTGGCAGTTCTTCATGTCCTGCTGCCCTGGGGCAGCTGGCCAAGCCACACTGTGCCACTGGGAACGGGAAGCCAGCTCAGCCCTCACCAGCTACACAAGCTGGTGGATGTAGAGTGTGTCTTCAGGCTGAGATTTGCCTGAGCTCACCTTGGAAATCCTTGTGCTGGTGGCTGGGCTTGAGCATGGGGAGTGACAGATGGGCACAGCCTGTAATCTTCTCCAGGAGCAGGGGTGAATCAGTTTGTGGGATAGGAGGCATTGGAGGGGACACAGCCCCTCACTGTCTGCCTGGGCCCTGCTCACCTGGGCATCTCTCCACAGGCTCAGGCGGGACATGCCCAACAGGTGTACCACCCACTTTGATGCAGTGGCTCAGATCCGGGGAGAGGCTTTCTTCTTCAAAGGTGAGCACCAGAGGTCTGTGCCTATGCCACCCTGTGGTGGCTTTGATGTGGCAGCACCAGAGGCAGCACAGTGTGGGACGGACTGGAAGTGAGTGGTGAGGATGAGCTGTCTGGGGTTTGTGGGCTTTTCCCACAGACCCAGGGAGGCATCTCTGGAGAATGAACTGAATGTGTGGGGCATACCAATCTGAAGATGCATCTTTGGTTTCTATTGCTTACTTCCCCTCAGAAATTCATTCAAGACCAGATACAAATAACGTGCAGTAATTTCTAATGGGCAATAACAAATACAAGACAAAGTTGAGAGTTGCCTCCTAAACATCTTGCTCTGGCTCATGTCACTCCATGGAGCTCTCTGGAGAAAATACAGCATGATATGTGCTGCAAAAAGGCTGAGAATCCCAGAGCCAACACAGACTTGGGTTTGGAGTTGCCCCTGAAAACCACTGAGACTCCTCAGGAAATCCCATATAAGGCTCCTTTAGCAGGAAAAGATTTGTTGTCTTTCCCACAAAGGATAAATCTGTTCTCTTTTACACTATCCAAAATATTTGAGAAATCCCCAAAATACTCTTCCCTGGCTGGGGCAGTGCCACTGCAGGTGTTGAAGTGCATTTTCTGGCACCACCAGTACATTCACTGTGGAAGCTCCACGGGACTGCAGTTTCTGCTTAGTATCCAGCACCTCTAGATGGCACCAAAGTCCTTAACTGCCTCTTTCCCCACCTCAGCCCTTCCAGATCTATTCAGATGTTTTTCTCCTCCTTTATTTTCTCGCTCCTTTTCTTCATTACAGAACAACCTGTCTGGTATTTCTGTGTTTCATTGTAACATCCTAGATATTTCCAAACATGAAAGCAGCTGGACATCCCATGTTAAGGAAGCTGTGGCTGCTCCAGGAGAGGAGGAATAGGGATGTTTTTTTGGAAGCTCTTGCTTAAGGCTGTTGGTACCTGGTCCCGCCAGCTCGCAGGAGGTCCCGAGCAGAGAGGGAGGGAGGGGATGAAAGGCTCCTCTCTCCTGCCCCGGTTCAGCATCACAGCCTCACACTGTGGCCAGGAATATAACAGCTCCAGCGCAATGTCCAGAGGATTACTTTAATCCAAAAAAGAAAGGGATTTCTTCTAATGACTGCCAGAAATAGAAAGCAGTCACAGCTGCTGCTGGAAAGCAGGATGACTCTAAATCATGGCTCCCTATCTCACATGCTTTGCTTCCTGCTGCTGCCATCCACCTAACACTCACCCCCCAGGGAAGGTGGGTTGAGTGTGGTTCAATAATGTCCAGTCTGTCCCTCCAGGCAAGTACTTCTGGAGACTGACTCGCAATAAGCACTTGGTCTCCCTCCAGCCGGCTCAGATTCACCGTTTCTGGCGAGGCTTGCCGCTCAACCTGGACAGCCTGGATGCAGTCTATGAGAGAACCAGCGACCACAAGATAGTCTTCTTCAAAGGTGAGAGCAAACATGATGCTGGAGGTATAGAATGTGGTGCTAGGCAGGAGACACCAGTGCCGCATGTTAAGCATCTTGAGTGCCGGTCTGAATCCTGTTGTCCATGAGGAGAAATGAGCTGGCAGGGAGGGCAAGCAAAAGGTAATGGTCACGGTCCCCAGAAAATGGGAGAAATGTCATTGAAGATAAAGTTCAGCCAAATGGAACAAAAATCTGAGCTTTCCAAGAATGAAACACAAGCAGGAACCACACCTACATACACTCACTCGTGTTGTGTTCCTCCTTTGACCTTTTCTCTTTTTAGTATTTGTTGCTGAGAAAAGAAAAAGTCAGAGAGGAAATAAAACTGAAACTGAAGACCTTCAGTTTTAATAATTATATTTGTTACTGTGGGGTTTTTTTCTTAAAATTAGTAGTATAATTATCTCTTTTTATCTAAAAACACTTGCAGGCTTCTATTTCAGAAGAGCTGGAGGAACAGTTTAGCTCTTGGTTTCTACACAAATGTCCAGGTCCCCCACAGACCATCCATCTGTGCTGGTTAGATGCCACCCACGCGCTCAATGTCACCCAAGACACTGGCAAGCACTGACTCTTGTTTCACCAAGGTTGTGCACTTGAAGTGCTAAACACATCCCAGCCCTCCATTCTTCCTGTTTGGAAATTGCTTTTTGTCTCCTGACAGTTCTGCTTGAAACATGGTGCAATTATTGGTTTCAGAAGTGCTGAGCCAAGCACTTCTGGAAGCAATAATTTGCTTTCAGTTTCCCCAGCCAGGCCAGAGAAATGGCTCATGTCCCATGCCAGCCCCTGCACTTGCAGAAGGCCTTTCCAAGTGCAACTGACACCCTCCTGGACGGCTGGCACACTGA